AAGGCGGCATCCCACGGCGCGTGTATCGGCAAGCCACGAGCAAGACTCGCCGATACACGAGTCGTGGGACCGGGCAGCTATGGGGCAGCTCGTCATTTTTGGCGCGGCTTGGACATACCCGCTTTCTGTCGGTAAACTTGACGATACTCAAAGGAAGGCGAGCCTCTTCGAGCTCGGCTCGTGTTGTGTTCAACCCGATCCAACGATCCTCGAAACGAGTACGGAGGTGCGGTTCAGTATCAGTGTCGTCTTGACTTAAAGATACATAGACAATAAATAAGTCAATCGCTATAATATCAATATAAAGTGATTTAGTATAATCTACATCCATATTATCTTTATTTTCAATAAAACCGTTTAACTTTTAAAAACATACCAACCAAATAGGTAATTTGTAAAACTACAAGTTAATAAGAACTGTTTAAATTTTTCATACGTAAAATTCTAAAAATTCTTCACTTTTTTTATATACAGAAGAATGACAGATACAAAAAAATAAATAGGACTAGTTTTCACCCCCTCCCCCAGTATGCTATATCAAATTGTATTGAATTTAAAGGGGCAACCTATAAAAGTACTTACATATTGCGGCTTTAATACAAAGACACTCTCCACCAACACTTTTTTTTGCCGTTCTTGTTGGTTCAAAAAATTACCCAACATGATGTAATAAGCGGCTGCAACACAAGCTGCATTTTGTGTTCGTCGATTTTTTCGTTCATGTTGCAACACCACTGGCACGACTAAAAACTAAATTTGCCAAACCAACACGAGCCTTCTTCACGACCTTTCACGCATCGTGGGATCGCATCCACTTGCCAAGCCCAGATTAACGAGCCAAGCCTAGGCGAGCCTAGACGAACTCAAGCTATGAGCCAGGATCGCCGATACACACGCCGTGGGATGCCGCCTTTAAAAATTAAATACCGGATGCGTCTCAAAAGTGGCTCACCCATATAAGTTTTTTATTTTTGCAGTTAAAAAAACGATATTTGGCATCTTAGTATATAAATTAGGATTGATTGACGTATTCAATTGTGTTCTGTCACTTCCTGTTTCACCGGAAATTACTAAAACTTTTGATTTTTAAATGGCACCCTCGGTATTTTTTTACTTTATTCAATAGAATGACGTATCATATGTCAACTTTTGACATTTTTGCATATGGTTTATTTGAAATCATAACTTGCGGTTCGTAACGAAAATTTGACTCGAAATACCAAGTATCTGGTATCAAATTTTTCGTAAAAAAATGCTTTTTCCAAATATGCTAATGAGCCACCCCCGTTCCATTTGAGAAAATTGAGATATGATAAAAAAATACGATTTGGGCATTTTCTAACTGGCCAGGACACTAAAAACATTAGACGACCAAATCTCCTTGATTAAGAATTAGTGTTTTAACATAGCCTAGATCGAATTTTAAATTGTAGATTGAATTTTAAATTAATTTCTAGATTGAATTTTAAAATAAAACTTTTTATTAAGCGCGAATGTTAAAAGTTGACATATGAGATGCCATTCTATTCAGAATGTCATTTTCTATCGAATAAAGTAAAAAGATACCGAGGGTGCCATTAAAAAATCAAGAGTTGTAGTCATTTCCGGTGAAACAGGAAGTGACCAAAAACAAATGAATACGTCAATCAATCCTAATTTGTGTCATGTACTAACATACCAAATCTCGTTTTTTTATCTGAAAAAATAAAAAAGTTATAGCGGTGAGCCACTTTTGAGACGCACCCGGTATAGCTGTAGAAAAATAAAACATTGTAAACGCTTTTAGTATTATGGTATACAAAATTCCCCCATAAAAACAAGAATTACAAATAATTTAGAATACGATCATGCATTCGAATGATGTTCAGGCCAAATACTTACAAGATCCGTTGCCAACTCAAGTACAGCTACATCATTTTCTTGAGTGTATGGATCGTAATCAGGATGAGCATTTATCGTTTTCACTTGCAATATTTGTCCACCGCTTGCACTGTAAGAGGAGCCTGCTCTTATTGTAATATCGCTAGCTTGCCTATAAAATAAAATATTCATCACATGTCGTCACATCCATTGTCTAAAATACTTATTTTAAAAAGTTTGTATTTAAACAAGATTTGGAAACATGGGAAATCGCATGCAAATTTTGAACTGTCCAGTTTTTTAAAAGTCTACGAATTCTGAATACATATGTCAAATTTGAATAATTTTGGACAAGCCGGTTTTAAGTAATTTAAGCAAAACTGCATCAATTTTAAATTAAAACTGAACAAGTAACTATGCAAAACCAAGCAAGTGTCAATGTACCTTAAGTTGTCATCCTATAATTTGTGACAATTATCGTGTATTCAGCATAAGCATACCCTTTGAGCATACCTTTAAAAACATATTTACGACTTACCTGTAAAATTAATAAGGGAGCCAATATTTGGACGTTACAAAATTTCCATGGCATTTCCTATGTTTCCGACGACGATGCACCACCCGGTATATATGTTACGGTTAAAGTCCGATGTCCGATGTCAAATAATAAATTTATTAAACTAATATATAAACTACATAAAAGAAACGTTAATAAAAAACGATATCCGCCATATTTTATCAACGAAACATTAAACAAAAAACAAAACATAAACCATAGGCAGAGTACACACAATGAAGACAATTCCATACATACTACGCACATTTTTCAAAGCACATAGCACACTTTGCCAAAAACTTGCCACCAATACAGGGTGCTACAAATTCAGCACAAGGAATTCAGCACAGGATTAGCAGCGCCTCAAGAGCATTCTGGAAATTAAAAGACAGGGTCTTCTACAATCATGAATTAAGTACAAAAACGAAACTTGCAGTGTACCGAGCAACTATAATCCCCACCATGTTATATGGGAGCGAAATCTGGGTGCCGTACCGCCGACACATGAGCACATTAAACAAGTTGCAACAGAGACACCTTAGACAACTTTTAAGAATCCGGTGGTTCCATCATGTCTCAAACGTATCGGTCCTTGAAAAAGCTAACTGCGAGAGTATTGAAGTCATGGTTACAAAATCCCGCTTAAGATGGACTAGTCACGTATAGTGATGTAAACTTTAGTTACTTTTATGGACTCGTAACTACTAGTTACTTTTGGTAATAGGACTCGCTACTTTGGACTCGTTACTTTAGTTACTCGTTACTTTGGTACTTAGTATCGTTACTTTATAATCGTTGTTTTGTGTACAGGTTGGAAGACTTAGGCTTGACGTGGAACTTGGTTACTTATTGTGCCCGGCGATCTTCGTTACATGCTCGGTTTAACCTATAAGGGGTTTCTACTTTCTTCTAGTGTAAGAGCTTAATAGGATAATTTCAATACTCGGTATTCAAGTACTGAATAATATGTTTTTAATAATATGTATAATATTTTTATAATATGTTAAATAAAACTAAGTACTATTAATAAAATTAAAAATAAAAGAAAACAAATCAAAACAAAGAAAATATATGCATAATAGATATAAAGTATATTTTTATATTTTCTCTCTCTCTCTCTCTTTGTATTACAGGCAAACATTAAAGAGTAAAAATTAAAAAAAATGTATATATTTTTGTTAAAATGTAAAAATATTAAAAAAATGTATATTCCTCTGTGGCGGATTCATCTCTTCAAAAAAGTCATTTGGATTAACGCAGCAGTGTTTACTAAAAATTACTATTTTTATTTTGTAGATTTTCTTACAGTGGCGAAATATCTATTCTCTTTTGAAGAAGAAAAATATTTGCTCTGCTTTTTCAGATGTTAACATTTTTTGTAACTAACGTGAATCCAATTTTAATTAATATCTAAGACATGTTAATCTAAATAAACAATTCTATTCTATAAATAAAAAGCGACAACAAACGGCAAAAGGACAGACCGCCTCCGGGTCGGCATGAGCCAATCATAATAATTGTAATAAAAATATCACACATTTGCCATCCAAAACACCGGCCGGCGTCAAGTCAACACTTTAAACATAAACATATTGATAACAACTAGACCTACGTCGAAGTAAGGAATATTTCAGTACCGAGTTTCGAGTCCTCGGTTCGTGCATTTTCAGGGATTACGATTACTGCCGGCGCAAAAGTAACGAATTAGCTTAGTAACGATTAACGAGTCCTAAATTCAAACAGTAAGCGTTACTTCGAGTCCTCGTAAAGTAACTGTTACTTTGTAACGATTACTTAGAATTTTTACATCACTAGTCACGTATGCAGAATGCAAGAAAATCGCATACCAAAATCTCTGCTTTACGGTGAGCTTGTGGACGGTAAGAGGAGGCCGGGTGGACAACTCAAAAGGTACAAGGACATTTTCCACAAAAACTTAAAGGGGATTAACATGCAGAATCGTTAGGAAAAGAAGCAGTTCACAATAGAACTCAATGGAGAAGAATTGTAAACCCAGTTAACAGCGACAACCAAAAAGTAAAGAGGCATCAAAGCAATTAGATTTTTGAATGTCCGGAGTGTGGTAGGCAAATAACATCACGTATCGGGCTTTTCAGTCACAGAAAAGCTCATGAAAGAAAACGCCTTACGTGACCATCTTTTGATGCGTGTTACTCGTCAGCGAGTAATGGCAGTATGTATGTACAAATTTGAGGTGCTATAAATAATAGATACGAACATGGTTAAATTGGGGCAAAGTTGCCATACTGGGATGTTCACCAAGATGCCATCAAAAAAGCTTTAAAAATTTCAAGGATTGCTGAGTTTTTTGAAAAAAAAACTGATTTTTTTGAAAATCAAATTTATTTTTTCCTATCGTTACTGTTTAGAAAATCAAAAAACTAATTATACATTCTCATAGCCACTTTATTAGGGCTATCTGATAGTATTTTTAGATTTTCAAATTAGCTGATAATTTGTGGGTTACAGAGGCCAACTTAATTTTTTTATATACGGACCTGCATTTTTTATTTGAAGTTTTCAAAAAACTCGGTCTCCTGAATACCATGATATGCCACACTTTATACTTTTTTTTGTTTTGGGTACCTTAACAGCAACAAAACTATTTAATTATATTTAAAATAATTTCAAGTCCGACTTTGGTTTCTTAAATTATTTAATACGATTATATTCATCCCAAATTCGTCCCAGCAATATTGATCAGCGCTAATTAACATTGAATAAGAAAAATCGAGCCAATTGGAAGATTCAAATAAATAATATCCAGGTCAGAAATTTAAAGATATTATTTTTAACTTTTTTTATTGTGAATTTGAAATCTGTGGGCGATATAATAATATGCATAATATTAATCGTAGTTATTATAAATAAATCAACTTCTACAAACTAGTTTCTAATGTTCTACATGTTCGAAAAGGTGCTACAAATTGGAGGTACGAGCATTGGTATCTCGGTAACCGTAGTAGATACGAACATGAGATACGAACACGATGTTCACCAACCACCCTCCCTATCGCACAAATTTATTTTTCGTTCACTTTTATTTATAGCTCTTTGAACTTTCTTCTTATACTTCGGAATGCATTTTGTACTCTTTATTGTAAATGTTGAGATGAATTGATTTCACTTTTACAAATGACGTCAAGTAATGCAGCTCCTTATTGGCGATAGGTCCAGGAACCTCGCTGGACATTATATTGCTCTACCATTTCCAGTCCAACTTCCGGGAAAATGATTTGATTGTTTATATTACATTATATTAATTTATATTAATTATTTGATATTATTTTATTGCATTTGATTTTCCGTATTCAATGTTTTTCCCCACGTCATTGTTAATTTTGAATGCTAATCAATATTGTAACGACGAATAGATTAAATATTAAAAAAAACAGAGCCGGACTTGAAATTAGTTTAACTAAATTGTGTTCAAATGTCAAAACAAAAAAAAAATATAAAAAAATATTAATTAAAGTAAGTAATATTTTTAAAAAATCAGTTTTTTCCAAAAAACTCAGCAATCCTTGAAATTTGTAAAACTTTTTTGATGGCATCTTGGTGAACATCCCAAAGCACAACTTTGCCCTAATTTAATCATGTTCGTATCTATTACGGTTACCGAGATACCAATGCTCGTACCTCCAATTTGTAGCACCTTGTATAAGTAACCCCTGTTGCCAACGTTATTTACTTGGTGATATATGTTTCTTACACTTTCTCCTTTATAATAATTAGATACTTTATTTTATATACCGGGTGCCTTTCAAAAGTAGCCCACCCTTATAATTTTTTAATACCGTTACATAATTATATTTAAGAAATAAATCCGCCACCAAGCGATAGACATTATTTCTGCTCTATAGCAGATTTCGGAAATATTGAACACTCTCTACCATACTTACGCAGAACCGAAACAATGGGCAGCACTTAATATAAATTTATTATTCAAAATTGATCCTCCACAAGAATGCGAATTTGAGTAAAGAACTTCTACTTGATATGGATAATCTAAAATACTGGCATTTTCACCTCCCACAATAGTATATCTGTTTTGTTCTAGATTGAGTGGTGTAGCTGAAATATATATATATAATAGATATTAAGAATATCGAAACATTTATAGAAAAGTGGTTTTAAATAGGTTATTTAGGCACCAAGAATCAAAAGCACAAAGACACCAAGAATCACCGAGCAACAAAAAATATCTCCAGTAGTTTTGATTTGAAGAATATTTGTTACATGATCGTAAGTGCCAACCTAAAGTATGTACGAGGATGTATTTCAGGAAAATATTTTAACTTCTATGTTGGCCCAAAAATGTGTAAGTGGATCGGGATGATGTTTTTTTAAATAGAACACCCTGTATATTATTGCATTTTTGACTTCCTTTTAGATCACTTTACATAACCCTAAAAGCCCCATACTCACACTTCGCTCCTTCCTCACCTTACTTCCTCGCGTTTCTTCGTCCCTTCGCTTCCTTCCTTCATCCATTCGATGCTTGGAAATTAGTCAATTATGCAACAACACACCACAAAATATTTTTAATATAGCAGCTACATGTTTAATACGAAATATCTAGTAACCTCAAAAATTTTTAAAAAATGCGAAAGGCGCATAATTTTTATTTTATAAAACTGCAATTCTTTGTCGTGTCAAAAATAAAAATTGAATTTTAATAATATATTTTTTTTAATAAATCTGAATATTTCAGTATCATGTACAAGGTATATCAGTATGAATGTACAAGGCGAGTCAACAATAGAGTAAAGTTTATTATGTAATTTATATCGAAA